CACAGTTCTCACATTTTTTATTCATTTTAAAATATTTTTGTTGCTCTACAGCATATAATTTTTCGAAAGAGCATTTCATTGTGCAAAGTTTGGTATGCTGCAATGCTCGCTGGAGTACTTTACAAACTGGCAAAAGCGATCTTGCAGAGACATATGAAAAAGAACCATTTTTGCGCAGTAAAGAAAGAGTTAACCAATGTTTTGGTTACATATTTCAGAATTTTTGACGAACAGAAAGTGTTGCAAAAATATTTTCATTAGCTGATGCTAGGAAATGAATGTACAGCTGATACAGATAAAAATTCTCAGAACTGCTGGTTAGGAAATGAATGTACACCTGATACAGATAAAAATTCTCAGAACTGCTGGTAAGAAATTTAAGCAAGGATTGCAGTTGATATATTAAGCTAAACTGGTCAACTTTTTGGATAATGCGCTGACCTGAGCAACACTATGTGAAGTGAACAGATAAACTACAAATTAAAGGAAACGGTGCCATGATACTTATCAGTTTCCTCTCGAGGCTGTGCATAGATCTTGCTTAAAGACCCTGACAGCGAAAGTTTTGTTTGCGAGTTTTTACAGTAATTTGATGCTTTGCGTCTGGTAATGCCGAAGTTATATCGTAAATGCTATAATGCATCATATAATTAATGTTAGCAGCATTAATTCAGAACAATTTTCCGTCAGTTTGAAATGCCCACCTTAATACCCTAAGAAACTAGCGCCCCCAACGGAGCAGCGCCCGAGACTGTTTTCAAACAGGGATACCCACGTGCAGTGAAGAATGAAGCGATGCGGGTTCTTTGAGTGCGTCTCACTCAGAAAAAAGAAAAGCATTCCTGGCGAAAGCAGCCAAAATCACCCTGAGAGCAGCCCAACAAGTGACCGAAAGGAGTGACGAACAATATTCCTCGCCGGGTGCCGGTCGGGGTATTGTGCACACCCTACAAATGCTAACCCTGCAACATCAGGGTTAGCATTTGTAGGGTGTGCACAATACCCCGACCGGCACCACCCTACAAATGCTAACCCTGCAACATCGGCGTCTCTCATAATCATATAGTGGTTTTGGGACGTTAAACCCCACATATCAATATCAATCAACCCTGCAACATCACAAGGGGAGTCCCAGTCTATGTGAAACCACAAAAAATGTCGATTGCACCTGAATACTTGGAAGAGCATGTACCCTTATTTTAAAACCACATTAAAATATGTTCTAGGCTACGCTCCCCACTAATAAATGGTCAGAGGTGGCCCCGCATGCAAGACTATCAAACAACACAAGCATCCTGAGTTTCCAAATTTGGAGTCAGGGGTCCTCTAACATAAATTTTGTACATATTTTGAAAAAAACACTGAATGTTAGTTAACACATAACTTTCTACTGTATAATGATTTTGTTTGCTTGACCTAGAGACAGTGTGATCGTTGCAACTTTCTAGTTTACAATGAGTTTTGCACTGTGCAACGTTTTTTTTTACCTGAAAATGTGTGCATAAGTGTATGTTTGTGTGTATTTGTTTATATATCTATACTGTTCGTGTGTATGACCAAAACATGCTAATTGATATGTATTCACCGCTACCATGCGATACATGTAACTTTCCCATCTGCCCTCCTGCTTGGTCCTTATAGGACTACAGTATGTAATAAATAAATAAAAATAAATAAATAACAGTGCTGTGAAACTCAAAGATAATTTAAAGGATGCCATCCAATGCCACAACCAACACAATACAACTATATATTATCAACCATTTCTGTCTGGAGATTTCCTTTTAACATCTATCGACTTTGGTATGATACCCTGCACATTTATGAATCAGCAAACTGAGGAAATTTGCTGCTTTGTTATTCTGCCTTGCAAGAGGCAAAAACAGAATTCAGCACATGTACCCTGAAAAGTTGTGCATGCAAGAACCAGTTTTGTTCAGCCAGTGCAAGACAAACACGAGCCTCATAGCATCTCCAAGTGAAAAAAAAAAAAGAGCTGCTCCGTTCCAATTCAGTGATGATGATGATTCTACTAATGATACATTCTCGCTTGCTTTAGTATCAGGGACACCAACAGCAAAGCAAGCATATTAATTACATCCAAGAACAAGCACTGGCTACACCTCTTGAGAGTGAAAAATATATATTTTGACATTTGAATGACTTCAAGGGTTCTTTAACCCTTTTAGTGCCAAATTTTTCTGAGACTAACTTTCCCAGGTGATCAAATTACTTTATTGAGGTTATTGAATGTACAAACTAAGTAAAGTAGGGATTTTTTTTAATGGACAGTTTTTTGGTATCAGCATTAGTCACACTGGCAAAACGTTCAATTGTATTTCAGAACGTGGTAGTCCTTGAAACTACACACAGCACATTATTGTTGTCCGCACACATAACACACATCTCCGTTCTCTTCTTGGAGTAACTAGTCCTGCTGGCGAACACACAGCATCTCCTCTGCATGTGGCTGCCTTGGGCAGAGTAAGGGCAGAGTATTGAATTTTTCAGTGTATAAGACGTAGCTTTTTTTCGATATTTTTGCTGGAGAATCTTGCACAACGAAACATATTATACGCAAAAAGTTATGAAATTCTGTGAGACCAAAATGTAGATATTCCCTTTGATGGTATGATAAAATGAGCGTAAGAGCATTCATAAAAAAAAATCTCATGTTTTTATAACAATGACGCAGGTGCGGTCTTAGATGTCAGCTACTTGCTGTTCAAGCACTGCGACGACCACGGAGATTACAGCCGCAATCATCACACAAACTATTGTATTATTCAAATCGTTTCTTCTTAAACAGATAGTTAAACCTACCGAACTGTGGCAATATATAAATAAAGGACACCACAATGTTTGATTGTAAGGTTATAGCACCTGCAATACCAGTTACAGAAACAAAAGCACCACTTCATTATCATCATCAGTTCCCCTGTAAGGCATCACTCCAGCCCTGCAGCAGTCACAGCTTCTGGCTTCCGGTTGCTATTTACACTTTGTATGTGAGTGTGTGTCGGTGTTAAACATGTGACACTATCGTTGCTTACGTGTTTCTACGAAGCCTTCATAATTCTGTACAGATAACTACAATGACGTGCTCCAAGGTGCTTTGAATGCCACATAAAAGAGTTACCCAGAGGCCAACAATGGCAAACCCGCAATGCTGCCAAACGACACGGACGAATTTTGACAGTGCACCGAAGGCGTCAAATTATTGGTTTTCTGCACCTCAGGGCAGTGTTTTTTACAAGTTTTATACTGCTGTTTCAAGATATTCAATTCTGTGCATAACAACGAATCTCGTAATGAACACACTCAACACACGCCATTGTGTTTTATGTTGACAGTGTCAAAATCAACATTGTCAAAAAGGTGTGTTTTATACATCCCTTTTCCCGAAAAAGCAGTAAAAAGGGGTGAGCCTTATACGAAGGTGCGATTTATACACTAGAAAATGCAGTAGACTTGGTAGTTACGGTGAACGAGAATACCTCGTGAGAGCCGGTGATAAACAAGCTAACAGTAGCGCCAATAAAGATGGAAATTGACTTCTACCACCCCTCCATGGGAGTGCCAATAAAGACAGAAATTAATTATTGCGCACCTCCAGTGTGATCACACAGCAAAACTGAAACCGCGAAAGGGCACTGCCCGCCAGCATTGCCTCGGATCCTGTGACACGCTGACGCTAAAAATCAGTTTTGTTTATCTCTGAAAGAAAATAGCAAAATCATTTCCAATGCTTCCCGCTAGTCCAAGGCGGTGGCAACACCTCCCAGTGAGCGCTTAAGTCCATAAAAATATACAGTAGTGCCAACTTTATCCCTTTGCCTCTGCCTCCTCTCCCAGAAGCTGCAGTAGCACCTCTAGTGTGTTCTGCTGGAAACTATAGATTTTCCCCACTGTAGTTCAAAACAGTTTCATTCTGCCTATCACTGGCACAGCAGGTCAAGCATACTGAAGCATCCAGGACCACCATACAGACTCAAGTGCATTTGACCTCACACCAAGCACCGATCAGGTAAACAACCAGAACGTGAATAAACACAATGGCGTTGCACAGTCTTCTATAAGGTTAGTGTGCCACTCTTTAAAAAAAGAAGTGATTGCTTAGCACCACAGTTTGCAGTGACGCTGCCACCAGAAGCAAGCTTTCGTGTATTAAAAGATTATATACTGTACATTTTTATACGGTCAGACACCGTGAAAATATGCCTCTTGCAACACATTAGATTGTTGTACTCATCACTATTTCTCATACTATTTGTATTTTTGCACTTTTCCCACTGCGTCACTTTGAACTGATGTGCCCTTGGCCCCTCTAGAGGAAGAACTGCACCAGCCCCTCTTTATGTCCAAAAGCCATGATCCTTAAGCTACTTTAGTTATTCTTAGAGACTAGTAATCCATCGATTATGACGCAAAATTTCAAGCGAAGGGTTGAAAACGTACCTCCACTGTAAGGACACTGCAGGACAGAAAACCGCCACCATACATGTACGACAGAAAACTCAGAGGGTTAAGTCCCCTTTTCAGGCCAAATACATTTAAAAAGAAACGAAAAAAAAAAAACACAGAAACCCGAAGACATAAGGTGTATTAGATTGTTGTACTCATCACTATTTCTCATACTATTTGTATTTTTGCACTTTTCCCACTGCGTCACTTTGAACTGATGTGCCCTTGGCCCCTCTAGAGGAAGAACTGCACCAGCCCCTCTTTATGTCCAAAAGCCATGATCCTTAAGCTACTTTAGTTATTCTTAGAGACTAGTAATCCATCGATTATGACGCAAAATTTCAAGCGAAGGGTTGAAAACGTACCTCCACTGTAAGGACACTGCAGGACAGAAAACCGCCACCATACATGTACGGCAGAAAACTCAGAGGGTTAAGTCCCCTTTTCAGGCCAAATACATTTAAAAAGAAACGAAAAAAAAAAAAAAAAACAGAAACCCGAAGACATAAGGTGTGTATGTTCAGTGGAACTCTTACTTCGAGAAGTTCGGGGAAAGGCATGCGCCGCTCATCTTCTTGCATGAAGCTCTTCAGCTCAATTTCATCCAAGGCAGTCACTACGAACTGCAGCTCCACTTCCCACAGGGTGGTAGCATTGCCTGGAATGCGTGGTGGACAGCCCATACGGCCAAACCCATACTGTGGTTCCACCAGAAATTGTGCCTTTTCCCCCTTTCGCATCGTGGCCACTCCTAAGGAGAGTCCAGGGATGATCATGTCACCCAACCTGCAAAAAAACACAGCAATGTTTTCAAGCTGTGCATAACCAAAAGTCAATCTGTCCCTCTACATGTCATAACTTTTACGTGCGTGCCAGTGGGTAGCACTCAACAACATATCACCGAAAGAGAGGATACAGTTGATTGAACAAGCCCACAGGCATTTTTTATTCCTCCATACCGAACTTCAACCAGAGCAATACTGGCATGTGTCGAACCTGAACAAAACCAGTTTTTTCGCTCTGATTCCCAGTTTATTAGAAATGAAAAAGATGAACTCCATATAAATGCACCATATATTCAGAAATGCAACAGCCGAACCAGACTTTGGAGCAATTCGTAACCATAAAATGTTATTTTTTGGAACATAAAAATCTAAATATGGAGCAGATGAAGGAAAAAGAAACTTATATTTTTTATAGCGAAAGCTATTATGAGATCCCCACATGGGTCACATGTGCTGTAGTTGTCCGCCGCCGCCGCCGGCATCCGTAACCACTATCACGCAAAGTAAGAAAAATTATGTAAATAAAAAACACCAAGGACACAATGGGATTCGAACCCTGGTCCTCTTCATGCCAGTCCAGTATTCTACCACTGAGCTACCCTGGTGCTTAACTCCGTGTCAAACTGACCTTAGGCAGGCTTCATGCCGGGAAAGGAATCACATTATTATATGCAATAAAGCAATTTAGAACAGCAAAGGAACACCAGGCATTACACAATGCGCATTGCGTAACGGGTGGGTTGTCGAATGGTACAACCTATAACAATAGCGCTAGGCATAATTCTTCATTGTCGTCAGTCAGAGTATAAAACAATTATACAAAACTCCTTGAAAGTGTGTAGCCGGTACCATGCTTCACCGAAGAAAGAACTGAAGAATGTTTTATGTCGTTGTAGGTACCCTACAAGTGTGCTTGTAGCAGTTACCCAAATAGCGTTTAAAACAGGCTCCTCGAAAGCCCGGTGGTTTTTTTTTTTAATCCCAAAATCACAAATTTGGAGACGCATCATAACGGAGCCTTACATTCTGAAAAAAAATATGTACAAACCATTCAACATCACCAAAATTGTGCACAGTGAACATGGGCACTGTTATTTTAATCAAGGTAGTATTTTAAACCACACCAATGTGCAAACAATGATGAAGTCCACATTAGCATTTGCAGTGCTTGTCAAATCCTTTGACAGACTGATAATTCAAATGTGGATTTGCCAAGCTGGCGACCTCGAAATTCGTGAACTTCGTAAAGCTGTAATGAGTGGGGGTCACAAAAAGAACTGGCGCACTGTAGGGTTCATTGTTTCTTAGGGTTGCAGAAACATCATACACTGCTCAAAATGTTTGTGAGTAACACATTTAGTCGTCAGTAATCATCCTAGCACTGCATATATGCAGCAAACACATGCATTAGTAATTGATGAATAAAATGTGCGTTGTCCCGTGACTAATGCTAACAGCCTCTTCAAAATCTTAATATGCTTTTCCACAGAACACCAGTGTACAGCAGTGGAGGTGGCTCAGGAACATTCTATATGGGATGAAACAAGTCCAAGCAATTCTGGAACCCGTACCCATGCCCCCCTCCCTCTTTTCTCTTTCACGGTGGGGTTAGGTTTAGAGCACAGCTCCTTGGCTCACTCGGAAGGCGCATTTGACCAAATAAAGTAACAACGGCATGCGTCCATTGGTTTGGCAGTGGCACCAGGTATCAATTGGCTGAACGAAACTTCAAGACAGGAAAACGTTTTATGTGCCATTGCTATGACAACCAACACAGTAGGTGGCAACGATGGCGTTCTCAGCACGTCAAGTTTGTTCGCCTGTGGAAAATGCGGACATGCTCCTAGCTTTTGTTTCCAACATGCCATAGCCACATTTGCCGACTAGGAAATTCATATTTCTCATGAAGCACTACGGCTACGGCCATTCATTTTTGTCTTGAAGTACCATCGTCTCACCGATAGTTACCCGCTGCAGATAGCAGACAGATGGGACAGATACTCACTTATTAAAGTATAGTGGCCAGAGGAACCACTGACTTCAAGTCACCACACCTTAAGAACATATATCTTACTCCGTGGTTTAGGGTCTGCTGGCCTGGATAGGTTGATGATGCCTAAACTGCAGGTAGTGATTGTGGCCTCCGTTTCTAGCTGAAATTACCAGAACTGAGAATATTTAGAGGCTGGCTCAGCATTTTGGCACAGCGTGGCACAATTTCGGCAAATTTTATGATTTTGGCTCAGTTCGGTACAAACAGAATAGTATTCAATTTGCATACTTGGCCCAGCTGTTGCACCCCTCTATATTCCATTTTACAGCAGGGTTGTTAAGGTTGAGGTTGGGTGCTATCTTCATCATCATCCCCTTCTTCATTGCCTTCCTCCTCTTCGTCGTCTGCTTCGCTACCAGAAGTAATGTGCCAATTTGTTCAGCGAGGTATGAAATAAACTCATGGGCAATAGAACAAGCACAAAGGCAGAAAGAAAATGAGAACGAGAAAATTTTTTGGCAAAAAAAAAAACTCTTTGCTGAGGCAAGATTTAAACTCGCAGTTAGGCTGATGATGATGATGACGACCCACGAGCCAAATGTGAGCATCTTAACCACTCTGCCATTCAAGCACACTGGCAGAACAGAGCATAACTTTGTATAGTAGAATACAGCAAGGTGGTGGTAAAGGGAAGTGTTAGATGGAGAGATGTGGGGGTTAGGGGGATAATAATAGTTGTTGGGCACTGATGTCCCAAGAACACACCATACAATTATAATATATGCTGTAATGAAGGGCACCAGAAATATTGACCACCTGGGGTTCTTTAATGTGCACCTAAATCTAAATACATGGGCCCTCAAGTGTTTCTGCCTCCATCGAAAATTTGACTGCCACAGCCGGAGTTTGATCCCATGACCTGCAGCTATTCATTCAAGCACCATAAACACTAGGCCACCATGGCAAGTGAGTAAGGAGGAAGATGGAATGGAGCATGGGAAAATGAATACAAAGAGAAAGAGAGATATAAACAGGGTTCGCACAGGTTTCAAAAGAGGAAATTCAAGAAATTTCAAGGGCCTCTTACGTGTTTTTCAAGGACCCAAAAATGGCATACGAATGAGAATTTTTTTTAGTATAAGAAGACCAATTCAGGCTAGTTGGTCGTACTTCATAATGGAATGGCAGTGCAACCACACGCAGACAGAAGAAGGTACACAAAATACAGAATGATTTTTTACTACAACAATGTTTCAAATTCTGACTAAACCCTTCTGAATCAGGAAGTTTATCAAAACGCAAAGGAGTTTTTCAGTGCTTTGAAACCTGAAAATGTAACATAGGGACACCCGAAATCTACCATGGAATTCTTTTTACTGCTAACCCATGCGTGTTTATGCCGAAAGTCGGTTCAGGCGTACCCAACATTAAGCCTCACATATGTTGCTCAGGCGATGTAAGGCAGGCAGACAGTCACGTGAAATATGAAATGCAACAAAAATGTAAAAACAAGGGGGAACGGATGCAGTGATTATGCAAGGAGGGCGAGCAGGAGTTGCAAAGACATCAGCGGTGACACCTGTCGCACAAATCATGAAATAACAAAAGTACACAGCAGCATTCCTGTGAGGGCATTGAGAGGAACAATAAACCACAGCCACGTGTAGTACCATCTGGTATGTAAGAGTGCGACTGTTGAGTCTACTGTTCTGTACCCAAGGGTGGCACGTAGTCTTGTTAAAATAAAACCAGGCTTGTTACTATGGGTGCACATAAATACAATTCGGCCTGTGCATTGCTTCTTTCTTGATATGACAACTATGAAACACCACCCTGACAGGGGAGATGCGAATTAAAGAACGTTAGTTTTCAAAAAAAAAATTACCTATCTTTTGCTTACAGCTGTTTTGATAAAGTTAGTGCCTTTAGTGTGTTGAAAAAAAAAACTATGTCAAGACTCAATTGTAAATGCTTTAAAATTGCATCTAAAGAGCACAAAGTGGCTGTTCATAAGCCAAAAGTGTGCAGTCTTCGAGCAGTTTGCCGCTGATTAGGCTCTGTCGCTCATTATTTCGATCGTCGCGCATGAGGGGAAGAGCCGAGCCTCACTGTTTAAATAACGACAGTTTCTCACGCTGCTCCGTGCCGCGGTGGTCTAGTGGCTAAGGTACTTGCCTGCTGACCCGCAGGTCGCGGGATCCAATCTCGGCTGCGGCGGCTGCATTTTCGATGGAGGCGCAAATGCTGTAGGCCAGTGAGATCATACTTGGGTGCACGTCAAAGAACCCCAGGTGGTCGAAATTTTCGGAGCCTTCCACTACGGCGTCTCTCATAATCATATGGTGGTTTTGGAAAGTTAAACCCCACACATCAATCAATCACGCTGCTCCAGTGGAAGAAATAATAAAAAGAAGCACGCTTCTAATGCCTTTTTCGAGTGCCGCAACTGACTTTTAAATCATGTGGTACAGATCGTGGACTGCCTTTGGACGCTGTGCGCTTGTGTGTGCTGTGAAGACTTCTTGCAGGGTCCATGTCTCATCGAGCAGCACAGCTGAATCACGCTTTTCGCGTGTGTTTATCTGCATTATGGATGAAGAAAGCTGTAGCTCGCACGATAACTACACTGTCAATGTGAAAGATGTTGTGGCAGTGCACTCTGTAGGAATTGGCTACGAGCAGCTGGTTCAAATTGCGGCAATTTGTTAGTTGCAATAGCCAATGAATCATAGGTCATTCAAAGCCATTAGCTGGAAGGTCCGTGATGCGGCAACGCATGCAATCTGTGCCAATCTTGTGAGATCGAGAGAACTCACAGTGAGGAAAGTTAGCCGGGATGACATAACGGCAATGTCATCCCGGTATGTGGCAGTACGTGGCAAAAAACGCGTCATTTGTGCCACGTACTGGTACCGGCCTGAGCCCGGCCCAGTGCCTTGAAATACGGCCTGTACCCAGCCCGGGCCCGAAAGGTTTGGGCCCGGCCCGTTTCAGCCTGTTATACCTTG